CGTGCCGGCCGGTACCGGTTCCAGTTCCCGGACCGGCAGTTCCGGTACCGGACCGGCCGGTTTCGCCCCCCCCTATTTTTTTTTTAATTTTTAAATTATAAAAAATTGCAATTGTAAAATTGCAATTGTTTAAAAATTGCAATTGTTTAAGGAAAGAATGCAATTGTTTCGCCCCCCACCTTTTTTTTTTAACTTTTTTGCATTTCAAATAAAAAAAAAAAAATTATACCGGTACCGCCGGTACCGGTACCAAAAAATAGGTACCGGAACCGGTACCGAAAGTGGCGGTACCGGTACCGGTTCCCGGAACCGGTGACACGGCGACCTTGCCGGTGATGGTGGCGGGTACCGGCGGTACCGTTGCCGGTGACGGTACCGTACCGGTACCGTGTCCACCCCTAGTTCACTCCCTACCCGTGGGCGTAAACTGATGTCTAACACTGGAACGATATTTTGTGCTTCTGTGATAATTTATATTGACAAAAAATATTAGTGCAAATTTTTTTACTGAACTAACATCTTGTGTTAGTGTGAGTCGTTGAAATGTCAGTCCATTTCTTTAGGATACACTTTTTGGTCGGCTTCAATTTTCCCTTCCACTTCCATTCCGCTTTGAGGGAAATGCCTTCAACTTTCTTCTTCAATTTTTAATTAGTTTTTAATACTCCCTCCGTTTTTTAAAAGTGTTCCTATTATGACTTTGTGTAAAAATAAGGAAGTGTTAAATTGTAGTTGACTTCCAATTTTGCCCTTGATGTGGTGGGTAAAAGTAAGATGTGATGGATTGAGTATTAGAGAAAAAGTATGATGTGATAGGTAGAGTATGAAAAAGTAAGGCTAAAAGTGGTTTTTTAAAAGAAAGTGGAAGTGTTTTGTTGGAAGTAAAAAAAATTAAAGAGGAAGAGTTTTTGAAGACGGAGGGAGTATTACTTTTACTAAACTTAAAATAAATGAACATTTTATTAAAATTCAGTGATTCATTAGGAGTGATACATTAAAATTAAATTAAAAGTATAATAAAATTGATACATTAAATAATTACTGATAAAGAAACTAAATTAAAACTTGTTTTGACACTTATTTTAACACTTGTTTTAATTAAAATAGTTGAAATAAAAATATAAAATACAATTAAATAATACAAGTTTATAAGAACTCAAAATAAAAATTAAAAATAAATTAAAAACAGAAAAATTGAAAAAAATTCAAAAAAAATCAAAGTTAAAAAACTGAAATTAAAAACTAAAAAAAGGAAAAGAAGTAACAAAAAAATAAAAAAAAAATAAAGAAAGAAGCAACAAAAAGGAGAAAGAAGAAAAATAAAGAAATGAAAAACCAAAAAAAAAACGGACAGGAAACCGACTCTTATCCCCCTTTCCCGTGGTGCACCGCAGGCATAAGGGATAAATTCGAATTTTCATCTCAGGTAATTCGCTTTGTGGGATTCGACTCGATTGTTGTTGTCATCTCAGGTAACTGTTTAGTCGGTTTCCCTCGTGGATGGAGTTTGTCAAGGAACTAGCTCAACCAAGCTCGAGCTATGGGTGTGGCCAAGGAGATTTATATATATTCATATTTAACTGTCCGTTTCGTTTAGTGTGTCAAACATTTAACTATTTATATACTTCGTATAAAAATATACAATGCATTAAAACATAAAACATATTCCAAATTATTTTTATCCAAAATTACTTTAAATGTATTATTTAAAATATTTTTGTTGATATATTTTAAGAAAAATTATCGGTCAAACTTTAAGTTCGAAAAAATAACTGGACAATTAAATGGGAATGGAGGGAGTAATGTTTTAAAAAATGGGGTGACGGTACGGTGAGTTTCGAATTCATGACTTACCTTGTAAATCGGTCAAACCTCGTAAACAAAAACGGGAAAAATATTTTAGGATGGATGGAGTATATTTTTATTGATGTAACAATTTATAAATGAAGTAAATTTAAATAACATGTAATTTTATACGTTGTTCGAAATGAGAAGAAAAAAATGTACCCAGGAAGTTTTTCATTTGTTTCCAAATAAAATACCATACACATACTTTGTGGTTGGTTTGACAAAATTTGAGACATCTTATCCTTATCGAGGATATAGAGATAATTTTAATGATGAGTTCCATCTCTATCTAGAGGTCCTCTCAGACCATAAAATTTTTTACGGTAAAATTGTTAGGTTTGCCTTTAAGCTTAGCTCGATCTTCCTCTTATCTTTTTATGTTTTCTATCATTTGAGTCTAGCTAGTTGCTATAGGTGGCATATATATGTATGTTTTTTTTTTGCATCTTTGCACTTCGTTACTTTCTTTCTTTTTACTTTTTATTCTGTTCGTGATATATGTTTTATGTGTAAATTTACGTTGTTTGTGCTTGAATATAAGATCTTTTGACAACAATCTCCCTAGCTACATTTGAATATGAATAACTATACCATTAATGCCGAGTAAAAAGAGACAAATAGTATTATCAATAAAACGAAAAATTATTTTAACCAAAATGAATATTGTGTTTTATTGAATATGCATACATTTAATTTCATAGTGTACATGTTCTAAGTATGTGTAAGCAAATAAATGTACTCACATAAGCATTTTGTAACTTGTAAATGTACATATGTATGCCAAATATACAATAAACATCGTACATTTCGAAATATTTCCTCCATCCCAATTTAATTGAGCATCGCAAATTATAATTATTGACTGAATTTATTTTCAATTTCAGATTATTTTATGAAATGAATCGTAAAAATAAACAAACAAACAAAGTTAAATTTGACCGTGTAAATAATACGGAGTATTTCAGAAGATCTATTGGGAGAAGATATAATAATTTTGACTATATAAGATCACATGATTCACATCATAGGTTAACAAAACTTTTCTACTTACAACTAATGTGTTTAGCTTTCTACTTGTAGCTTTTGGTCCCTTTTTGGGACAATAATAAACTACACAAAAAAGAGGTAGGGGCTCACATGCATCTATTGTTCTTCAATAAGTAGTGAACACTTTTTGTCACAAGAATATTAAGACTGCCAAAATGTACCATCCAATTTGGAAGCCAATAAAGTGTGTGTTTTCTTCCCATTTCAAGCACTCTTAGCAGCCTGCACCTGATTTAACAAACATTATTTGTGCATTGTAAGCAATAAAATCAAAAGCAAAAAAATGTTCTAGTTATCCCACATAGCTAAGTATAAATAATGATTTATATAAATCCTTTAAGAAGTATGAGATAAACTTCTTTTCTTCAAAGCACTCTTAAATGGAGTTAGGACAAATATTTATTCTTCACAAAAAAAAATGTTGCATTACCTTCTTAAGATACTTCTTGTGAAGTTTCAAAGCACCTGTGCATGCCTTTCTGGCATCTAAATTGCCCGTCACGTCATTTAATATCTTGAAAATAATAAACAACAAAAAGAAAAATATATATGAACAGTAATCAAATAGTTTCAGCTTTCATTAAAACACAACCGTAGAAACCTTCGAAGAAAAAATAACCCAGGACTTTTGAAAGTTAAAAAAAGAAATGCCACCTTAACGACATCGTCTAGTCCTCGAGCCTCGATCAACAACTTGGGACTTTTCTCTTTGAGGACATTGGCTACAAGGAAAACAGATATAGGGAGAGGAGGTTCTTTACTTTTTCCAGCATTTTTAAGGTATTCCCTCTCATATTTCCCACATTGGTAAATTGCTTTGGTTTGCCCTTTAGAGCCTTCAGATATTTCTGTGGAAGAGTCAGGGTCTTCATATGTCAAAAACAAATTAGGGTCATACTCCAAAGCCCACATCATCTAAGCAAAAAAAAAAGTTTTAGAAAGACGTCAACAAAAATAAACCCAGTAAAATCTCATAAGAATAAATCAATTTTAATTTACCTCCCATAGATATAACGAGTCTCCGAAAGAAAATTCGCGACGAAACAAAACCATAAGCATTCTGAAAGCGAATAGATAATCGCCTCCGCCCAATGTCTCTGCACGTTGATAGAGTTTGGGACACTCAGTTGGGTCTTGAGATATTTAGATCGAACCACAGTAAAAGAAGCAAAATGGTATATGAGAGACATACCTAAGTGTTGATGGAGTTTAGGGTCAATAACTTGGGTGACAGAAGCAAGATTAGTAAGTTGTGTCTCTACCCCAACTGATTTATCTGTGCACCTAAAATTTCCTCGCTATTAAGCCAAAAAACACAAGAAAATTCATGAGAAAGAAACAACTCGAAGAACTAAGATTATTTCTTACTAAGAAATTTATTGATTCATATTTAACAAATCCGATATATTTGTAACACTCTTCTTGTAGTCAACGTATCGATGTGTTCTTTGTAGAGCATTTATATGACACGAAGTATCCTACTATTACCGACTAGTTCAGGTCGCATGATTTTGACACCACATTAAATAACACATTCAACCAAAAGCTCG